TTCTCCCGTCTCTTCCCCCGTCTCTCGTCTCTTCCCGTCTCTTCTTCCCGTCTCTTCTCCCGTCTCTTCCGTCTCAGATTCCAAACACAAACTCCGTGGATCTGTCCAAACATTTCGCCGACGCCTCGAGAATTTTCCTCTGAATAATTTATAGCCCGACGATGAGAAACGCATCTTTATTTCGAATCGATACAGACACCACTTATCCCCGCCCCCTTCTGCCAAACGAGCTCGAGGCGATTATGAAAGACCATTGGTCCTGGTTTAGTCCAGTTTTAGTCCTGGTTTAGTCCGTTTTAGTCCTGGTTTAGTCCAGTTTTAGTTTTAGTATTCCAGTTTTAGTTTAGTTACAGTCCAGCTTTAGTTCTCCTGTAGTGCAGTTATAGTCCTGACATAGACCCAATTTATTCTGGTTTTAGTCCAGTTTTAGTCCAGTTTAGCCAGTTTAAGTCCACTTTTAGTCCACTTTTAATCCTGGTTTAGTCCAGTTTAGTCCTGGTTTAGTTTTAATCCAGTTTTAGTCCTGGTTTAGTCCAGTTTAAGTCCACTTTTAGTCCACTTTTAGTCCTGGTTTAGTCCAGTCTTAGTCCTGGTTTAGTTTTTAATCCAGTTTTAGTCCTGGTTTAGTCCAGTTTTAGTCCAGTTTAAGTCCAGTTTTAGTCCTTTTAGTCCTTTTAGTCCAGTTTAGTCCTGGTTTAGTTTTAAGTCCACTTTTAGTCCTGGTTCAGTCCAGTTTTAGTCCTGGTTTTAGTCCAAGTTTAGTCCTGGTTTAGTCCTGGTTTAGTCCAGTTTTAGTCCTGGTTTAGTCCAGTGTCTCTGGGTTAAAGTGTGTCTGGAGGCAGGACAGGAGCGCGACATAAACCCTCACCTGTCGTTGTTGTTGTTGTGTGACAGGTGCAGGTGTGACAGGAGTCCTCTCACCTGTCGTTGTCGTTGTTGTTGTTGTGTGACAGGTGCAGGTGCGACAGGAGTCCTCTCACCTGTCGTTGTTGTCGTTGTTGTGTGACAGGTGCAGGTGTGACAGGAGTCCTCTCACCTGTCGTTGTTGTTGTTGTTGTTGTTGTGTGACAGGTGCAGGTGTGACAGGAGTCCTCTCACCTGTCGTTGTTGTTGTTGTTGTGTGACAGGTGCAGGTGTGACAGGAGTCCTCTCACCTGTCGTTGTCTTTGTTGTTGTTGTGTGACAGGTGCAGGTGTGACAGGAGTCCTCTCACCTGTCGTTGTTGTTGTTTGTGTGACAGGTGCAGGTGTGACAGGAGTCCTCTCACCTGTCTTGTTGTTGTTGTGTGTGCAGTGTCAGTGTGGACAGGAGTGTGCGTTGTGTGACAGGTGCAGTGTGACAGGAGTCCTCTCACCTGTCGTTGTCTGTTGTGTGACAGGTGCAGGTGACAGGAGTCTCTCACCTGTCGTTGTTGTTGTGTGTGACAGGTGCAGGTGTGACAGGAGTCCTCTCAGTCGTCTGACAGGTGCAGGTGTGACAGGAGTCCTCTCACCTGTCGTTGTTGTTGTTGTGTGACAGGTGCAGGTGTGACAGGAGTCCTCTCACCTGTCGTTGTTGTTGTTGTGTGACAGGTGCAGGTGTGACAGGAGTCCTCTCACCTGTCGTTGTTGTTGTTGTGTGACAGGTGCAGGTGTGACAGGAGGTCTTGTTGTTGTTGTGTGTGACAGGTGCAGGTGTGACAGGAGTCCTCTCACCTGTTTTGTTGTTGTTGTGTGACAGTGCAGGTGACAGAGTGCAGGTGTGACAGGAGTCCTCTCACCTGTCGTTGTTGTTGTTGTTGTTGTGTGACAGGTGCAGGTGTGACAGGAGTCCTCTCACCTGTCGTTTGTTGTTGTTGTGTGACAGGTGCAGGTGTGACAGGAGTCCTCTCACCTGTCGTTGTTGTTGTTGTGTGTGTGACAGGTGCAGGTGTGACAGGAGTCCTCTCACCTGTCGTTGTTGTTGTTGTTGTGTGACAGGTGCAGGTGTGACAGGAGTCCTCTCACCTGTCGTTGTTGTTGTTGTGTGTGTGTGACAGGTGACAGGTGCAGGTGTGACAGGAGTCCTCTCACCTGTCGTTGTTGTTGTTGTGTGACAGGTGCAGGTGTGACAGGAGTCCTCTCACCTGTCGTTGTTGTTGTTGTTGTTGTGTGACAGGTGCAGGTGTGACAGGAGTCCTCTCACCTGTCGTTGTTGTTGTTGTTGTTGTGTGACAGGTGCAGGTGTGACAGGAGTCCTCTCACCTGTCGTTGTTGTTGTTGTTGTGTGACAGGTGCAGGTGTGGGACACGGCAGGACAGGAGCGCTTCAGGAAGTCCATGGTGGAGCATTACTACAGGAACGTCCACGCCGTCGTCTTTGTCTACGACGTCACCAAGATGGCGTCTTTCCGAAACCTGCAGACCTGGATCGAGGTCGGGGACTCACACCTTTATTTTAGTTTTAATTTTTTATTTTAATCTAAGTCCGTTTCTTTATTTTGAGTGTGTTTTTTGCGTCTCTGTTTCCGCAGGAGTGTAACGGTCACAGAGTGTCGGCCTCGGTGCCTCGGGTTCTGGTGGGAAACAAGTGTGACCTCATCGACCAAATACAGGTACAGGAAGTGCAGTGACCCTCGCCCGCCAGCAGGGGGAGGGTTTTAGCAGGGGGTTTTACTGACGTTTTAGTCCTGGTTTTAGTTTTTGTTTGTTTAGTCCAGTTTTAGTCCAGTTTTAGTCCTGGTTTTAGTCCTAGTCCGTTTTAGGTCCTGGAGTCCTGGTTTAGTAGTCCTGTTTAGTTTAGTCCTGGTTTTAGTCCTGGTTTTAGTCCAGTTTTAGTTTTAGTCCAGTCCAGTTTAGTCCAGTTTTGGTCCTGGTTTTAGTTTCCAGTTTTAGTCCTTTTAGTCCTAGGTTTTAGTCCAGTTTTAGTCCTTTTAGTCCTGGTTTAGTCCTGGTTTAGTCCAGTTTAGTCCTGTTTTAGTCCATTTTAGTCCTGGTTTAGTCCAGTTTTAGTCCCGTTTTAGTCCTGGTTTTAGTCCTGGTTTTAGTCCAGTTTTAGTCCTTTTAGTCCGTTTAGTCCTTTTAGTCCTGGTTTAGTCCAGTTTTGGTCCTGGTTTTCCAGTTTTTAGTCCAGTTTTAGTCCTTTAGTTTTAGTCCAGTTTTGTCCTGGTTTTAGTCCAGTTTTTAGTCCAGTTTTAGTCCTGGTTTAGTCCTGGTTTAGTCCAGTTTTAGTCCTGTTTTAGTCCTGGTTTAGTCCTGGTTTTAGTCCAGTTTTAGTCCTTTTTAGTCCTGGTTTAGTCCTAGTTTTAGTCCTGTTTAGTCCAGTTTTAGTCCTGAGTTTTAGTCCTGGTCCTGTTTTTCCAGTTTTGTCCTTTAGTCCTGGTTTAGTCCAGTTTTAGTCCTGGTTTAGTCCTGGTTTAGTCCAGTTTTAGTCCTGGTTTAGTCCTGTTTAGTCCTGGTTTAGTCCAGTTTTAGTCCTGGGTTTTAGTCCAGTTTTAGTCCTGGTTTAGTCCAGTTTTAGTCCTGGTTTAGTCCAGTTTTAGTCCCATTTTGGCCCTGGTTTTAGTCCTGGTTTTAGTCCAGTTTTGGTCCTGGGTTTAGTCCAGTTTTAGTCCTTTTGGCCCTGGTTTTAGTCCTGGTTTTAGTCCAGTTTTTGGTCCTGGTTTTAGTCCAGTTTTAGTCCAGTTTTTTTAGTTTTTTTAGTCCTGGTTTAGTCCAGTTTAGTCCAGTTTTAGTCCTTTTAGTCCTGGTTTAGTCCCTGGTTTAGTCCAGTGTTTTAGTCCTGTTTAGTCCTGTTTTAGTTTTAGTCCTTTTAGTCCAGTTTAGTCCTGGTTTAGTCCTGGTTTTAGTCCAGTTTTGGTCCTGGTTTTAGTCCTGGTTTAGTCCAGTTTTAGTCCAGTTTTAGTTTTAGTCCAGTTTTAGTCCTGGTTTAGTCCAGTTTTAGTCCTGGTTTAGTCCTGGTTTAGTCCAGTTTTAGTCCAGTTTAGTCCTGGTTTTAGTCCAGTTTTAGTCCTGGTTTAGTCCGGTTTTAGTCCAGTTTTAGTCCTGGTTTAGTCTAGTTCAGATTGATGTAAACGTGGGCACTAAAAGGCGACTTGTTGATGTAAATATGTGACGAGTTTCTTCATCAGAACTGTTCTTCTTCTCTTCTTCTCTTCTTCTTCTTCTTCTTCTTCCCTCAGGTTCCTTCCAACGTGGCGCTGAAGTTCGCCGACTCCCACAACATGCTCCTGTTCGAGACGTCGGCCAAAGACCCCAAGGAGAGTCAGAACGTGGACTCCATCTTCATGTCGCTGGCCTGTCGCCTCAAGACCCAGAAGTCGCTGCTGTACCGGGACGTGGAGCGGGAGGAGGACCGCGTGGAGCTCAGCCAGCGGACGGACTGCAAGAGCAACTGCCCCTGCTAGAGCCGCGCGGAGGACGACCACCAAAAACAAACAAAAAAAAACCCTCGACCGCGAATAAACGAACGCGCCGTCGCGAGTCAGGAGAAGTAAAAGTCCGATAGATCGATTTGCCGCATTCTGTTGAACGCCGGTACTGGATAAACCCGAGATGAGTCCGTTGTAAATTCCTTCCGCACGCGCATCAAGAATCTCGGACTTCCGGTCGTCGCCGCAATCCACGCCGGGAAGGATTCACCGGAAAAAAGCGAGCGTCAAACCTCCGCGTTTGTTTTCCCGGTGCGACGCGTCTGTCGTCGAAGTCGATCTTTTCGAGCCTTTTGAACCATTTCGCTTTTGTTTCTGGTTCTGATATTGTCGTGTTTTAGTTTTTTGGGATTCGGACGTCGTTTAATTGTTGTGGTTGTTGGATCCTAACGGCGGAAAACGGCTCGAGGAATTTGTTTGCGAATTCGTAAATGCAAAAGTGAATCAGATGTGTGTGACTCAAACCTCTGTTCAAACTGTTTCTCTTCCCAACGGAATTGAAAAATAGTGAAAGGTGAAGGTGATGGGCAGGATTGATCCACAGGAAGGAACAAAAAGGAAACATTTGACTGCGGGACTGAGACCAGGACCAGACCAGGACCAGACCAGGACCAGACCAGAGAGACAGACCAGGACCAGACCAGACTCAGAGCCCATGGCCAGGGTCGGAGCTCAGAAGACTCGGAGAGAGGCTCAGGCTCGGAGTTAAGGCTCGGAGTTAAGGCTCGGAGTCCGCTTTGGTCTGGTCTGGTCCCGGACCTGGATCAGTCCTGGTTTAGTCTGAACGCAGTGTGAAAGTTCGGCATCGCAGTCACGAAGTCACGTAAACGGTCGATTGTTTTTAGTTTTTTTTCGGACGTCGTTTAATGTTGTGGTTGTTGGATCCTAACGGCGGAAAACGGCTCGAGGAATTTGTTCTTGAATTCCGTAAATGCAAAAGTGAATCAGATGTGTGCGACTCAAACCTCCGTTTCAAACTGTTTCTCTTGGTGAAGGCGATGGGCAGGATTGATCCACGGGAAGAACCAAAAAGGAAACATCTTCCAGAAAGGAATTGTCTGAAACAGTGGAAACGGTTGGACCCCGACCTTTTTTGCACCACGGACCAGTTTTTATATCACACAATATTTCATGTTGCGTTAAGTCCTAAATCCTGTTTTAGTCCCGGGGTTAGACCTGTTTTAGACCTGAGTTTTGGCCTGGTTTAGACCTGGTTTGGGGCCTGTTTTCCTGGTTTAGACCTGGTTTAGAACCTGGTTTAGGTTTACCTGGTTTTAGACCTGGTTTCCTGGTTCTGGTTTAGTAGACCTGGCTTTTAGACCTGGTTTAGTCCTGGTTTAGTTTACCTGGTTTAGACCTGGTTTTAGTCCTGGTTTAACCTGGTTTAACCTGGTTTAGTCCTGGTTTAGACCTGGTTTAGACCTGGTTTAAGTTTAGTTTTATCCTGGTTTAGTCCTGGTTTAGGTCCTGGTTTTTAGACCTGGTTTAGGGTCCTGGTTTTTAGACCCTGGTTTACCTGGTTTAGTCCTGGTTTAATCCTGGTTTTTAACCTGTTTAGTCCTGGTTTAGTCCTGGTTTAACCTGGTTTAGTCCTGGTTTATTCCCTTAGTCCTGGTTTAGACCTGGTTTAGTCCTGGTTTAGTCCCTGGTTTAGACCTGGTTTATAGTCCTGGTTTAATCCTGGTTTAGTCCTGGTTTAGTCCTGGTTTAAACCTGTTTAGACCTGGTTTAGTCCTGGTTTAGTCCTGGTTTAGTCCTGGTTTAGTCCTGGTTTAATCCTGGTTTAGTCCTGGTTTAATCCTGGTTTTAGTCCTGGTTTAGTCCTGGTTTAATCCTGGTTTAGTCCTGGTTTAATCCTGGTTTAGTCCTGGTTTAGTCCTGGTTTAATCCTGGGTTAGTCCTCGGTCAGGAGGGGCATTCGTACTTTCGGTCTAAAACATGAGCGACATTAGACCACAAGTCCAGGCTGCTTAAAACGTTTTTTATAAACGCCAAAATAAAACATCCAGCACAGATTATGCAGCTCTAATCCGAATCTGAATCACGTTCAGAAAAAAGTTTGTTACCGTCAAATGGTGTGAAAGAAAGTCTAAACGTCACTACGGAGTTTTTTAGAAGACCCGACCCGAGTTTGTGTTTCGGAACTTCGATCTGATTGGCCGTTCCGTCGCGCTTTCTCGAGGCGGAGGTCGGTTTTCCAAAGTCCCGAGCTCAGCAGAATGCGGCGTCAGCGAGGAAGCGACGAAGCGAGACTCGGACGTCGATCCGGAGAAAAGCCCAGGTGCTTCCCCGACTTTTTTTCAAAACTTGCCTCCTCCGAGTTCGGGGACGCAAGTTTTGAGGAACACATTTTGGACCACAGACCGAGCGAAACTGTTCACGTTTGAGAGCGAAGAAACGAAGAAACGAAACGAAACGAAACGGCCGACACCAAAACGAAGACGAGGACGGCGAGGGGCTTTCACATTTGAAATCGTTTGACTCCGAAAGTTTGGATTTTAAATGAAACGAGCGAAGACTGAAGTGTGGTAAATGCTTTTTTGGACATTATTTATTCTATTTATAACGTCGCCTTTGAGTTTGTTTATGTACGTTTTGTTTTTTTTTGGGGTTTTTTTTGGCATTTTTGTCGAACTAAATCTGTGACTAAATATTGCGGGGCCAGTTTCACAAAGAGTTTGAGTCGAAGTAGAACTTTTCGGAGTCCGGCAGCCGCGTTTTCTCGATGGAGGTTTTATTTCTTGGCTTTCTATCTTCACGGAGACCAAACCGGGCCAAGTTCCAGGTCGGATCTGCGGAGAGGCGACGCCGCTCACAGTCAGAATCAATGTTTTTTTTAGGTGTTTTTGAGCTGTAAAACCAACTGTAACTGAATAAATTTAAGGTAGATCTGTTTAATGTCACAGTGCGGAACATTCCGGGCAGAGCAACGACGTATCCATAGAAACGAGCGAGTCTTTACAGATTTGTGACCCGGTTTACGGTTCATATTTGTGCAAGTCCAGGGCCCGTCCACGTGAAACTAAAACAAAAACTGACAGAAACTTCAGGAAAAATAAACTAAAGTCACGTGATTTCAGAAAACGGAGACGTTGTTCAACCCCAAAAGTGAGTGTTTCAGCTGAAAAGACTTTAAAACCAGGACTAAACCAGGACTAAACCAGGACTAAACCAGGACTAAAACCAGGACTAAACCAGGACTAAACCAGGAGACTAAAACCAGGACTAAACTAGGACTAAACCAGGACTAAACTACCAGGACTAAAACCAGGTCTAAACCAGGACTAAACCAGGAGGACTAAACCAGGACTAAACTAGGACTAAACCAGGTCTAAACCAGGACTAAACCAGGACTAAAAACCAGGACTAAAAACTAGGACTAAACCAGGACTAAAACCAGGACTAAACCAGGACTAAAACCAGGACTAAACCAGGACTAAACCAGGACTAAAACCAGGACTAAACCAGGACTAAACTACAACTAAAACCAGGTCTAAACCAGGACTAAAACCAGAGACCTAAAACCAGGACTAAACTAGGACTAAACCAGGACTAAAAACCAGGACTAAACCAGGACTAAAACCAGGACTAAACCAGGACTAAACCAGGACTAAAACCAGGACTAAACCAGGACTAAACTAAACAACTAAAACCAGGTCTAAAACCAGGACTAAAAACTAAACCAGGACTAAAACCAGGACTAAAACCAGGACTAAACCAGGACTAAACCTAGGACTAAAACCAGGAACTACCAGGACTAAAACCAGGACTAAACCAGGACTAAAACCAGGACTAAACTATGACTAAAACCAGGACTAAACCAGGACTAAACCAGGACTAAAACCAGGTCTAAACCAGGACTAAAACTAGGACTCTAAAACCAGGACTAAAACCAGGACTAAACTACGACTAAAACCAGGTCTAAACCAGGACTAAACTATGCCTAAAACCAGGACTAAACTACGCCTAAAACCAGGTCTAAACCAACTAGGACTAAAACCTAAACAGGACTAAACCAGGACTAAACCAGGTCTAAACCAGGACTAAAACCAGGACCTAAACTAAACAGGACTAAACCAGGCCTAAACCAGGACTAAACTATGCCTAAAACCAGGACTAAACTACGCCTAAAACCAGGACTAAACTAGGCCTAAACCAGGACTAAACTAGGCCTAAACCAGGACTAAACCAGGCCTAAACCAGGACTAAACCAGGACTAAACTACGACTAAAACCAGGTCTAAACCAGGTGTTTTATAAATTCTTTCCTAAAAACTCGCTCTTTTTCCGCAGCGACTCATTTTAAGGCGGGTTTAACTGAAGATGAAGCCAAGTAAGTGAGTTAAAGTAAAAGTATCGGTGAAACTTTCTTTCTCTTGGTGAAACTGGCCTCGTGTTAAATCCCGGATGCCTTCCACGTTTGGCGGTTCAGACTTTGAGTGTCCTTATGAAGAAGAAGACGATAAAGAAGGTCCAGGCATTTCAAACACTGTGACGATACCGGAAAGATAATAACAAATGAACAAAACAGTTTAATACAGCTTGAATGAAGACTAAACCAGGACTAAATAAGGTCCAGAACTGCAGTCACACTTGTCCCGGTGGAGTCCTTGGTCTAGTCCAGGTTTAATTCCGGGTTTAGTCCCAGTTTAGTCACAATCTTGATGTTTTATTCACACGAGACTGGTCCACGGGTTATGGCACACCTTCATGATCTAAACCGGGACTAAACAAGGACTATAACTGGTCTAAATCAGGTCCAAATCAGAGCTAGAACCACGGACTAAACCTGGACTAAACGAAATCTAAACCAGGACTACACCACGACTGTCCCGAGACTACTTTCCTAAACCAGGAGTACTCTGGGACTAAACCAAGGACAAACCAAGAAACTAAAACAGGACTAAAACCAGAACTAAACCAGGACTAAACCAGGACTGAACCAGGACTACACTGGTCTAAATTTGGATTACACACCAGATTTACACCAGGACTAAACAAGGCTTCAACCAGGACTAAACCAAGCCAGAACAACGTCTAAACCAGGACTACACCAGGTCTAAACCAGGACTGGACCTCTGTGATCCAAGGACACGGGGGGAGTCCTTGAGTTGCTCTGAGCTGGAGCTGTAATTGTATTGATTTTGGAAGAGATCCTATTTCACAATATGCAACACAAATGCACTGCAGCCTGCACACGGACCACTGTTATAACCTGTCTTAGTCTGTTTAAACCGGATTAAACCAGTTTAAACCTGTTCAGGCCTGTTTTAAACCAGGTTAAACCTGTTCTAACCTGTTTAAACTGGTTTAAACCTGTTCTAGCCTGTTTAAACCAGTTTCAAAACCTGTTCTAACTTGTTTAAACCGGTTTAAACCTGTTTAAAACCGTTCTAACCTGTTTTAAACCATGTTAAACCTGTTCAGGCCTGGTTTAAACCTGTTCAGGCCTGTTCAAATCGGTTTGACTGTTCTAACCTGTTTAAACCGGGTTAAACCTGTTTTAACTTGTTAAAACCATGGATCTATAATAAAAACTGGATAAGCCCACCAACTAGTGGCCGCTCCAGGTCCTGCAGCTTCCAGGAGTTCGCCCGGACTGAGGAGGTAAATGC